CCCCCATGGCATTCAATGCGTTAAACTGAAACCATTGAGCAAATTATGCTCGCTTTCATCAGCGTTAGGTTTCCTTATTAGCGAGTTTCACCAAGAAAATTAATACTTCATTTGAAGTAAAGTTAATAAAATTAATCTACCACTTCTAACAAAAAATAATTTAATATATCTAATTTTTTTTAAAAATTTAATGGTGATTGGAGCATAGGTAATAATTCATGCCTAATTGAATGAATTACTAGCTAGAAAATATGCTGGTAAGGTAAGTTTAACTGAATATTGCCAATCAAGCTGTTGTCCTTTGGATTTTATTTTGGGCAATAGTTAATGTCTTGCGTATAACCTTTAGCGTGTCAAGATGTAACGTGTTAAAATAGTCAGTAGGGATTTAATTACTATAATTTCATTTTTTTTAACTATTATAATAATGCAAACTTAAAATAAAATCAGATTCAGGAACTTCGAATACATTTTTTGAAACTATTATACTTCTTATAACTTTGACTACAAAATGTACTTTTTAACATAAAAATTTTATTGTACTTTTTTTTTTTTGCGCTTGAAAATATTTATTCGTTGTCCTGAGCAAGTTGGCATCTCTGTGCATATAAATAAAACTATTTTCGTGTGTTTTATATTGCATTAATTTCTTCAAACCACTTTAATAACCATTCTACTTTTTAAAAAATTAAAATTTACTTGAATTATGTGTTTTTAATAATGTAAGCTTCGCAGGTGACCCCCGTAGCGCTACGAACAAACTAAGTGCTTGTGACCCCTATGGCATTTAGCGTGTTAAAAAGTAGGTGCAATTATCATTATTCTATAAGTTTAACTATTTAATTCGCTAACAATTTACTAAAACTTTTGCAGAAAGCGGAGCTGAAGGTATTCTTTGAAGTCCAATTAACTACTATTCAGATATCCGGGTATTTTTATGAAAAATTGCATTGTCTAGTATTGTGTATAAAGATACAAGAAACGACAGAGATTAATTGGAATAGTTTAATGTATTTATATATACAGTTACATATAAATTACACTATTTACAAAGAATTGCCATAGTTTATTTTAACCATCCATAAATACTTTAATAGTTTTTATTTTGAAAGAAATACGCACCACACACTATAGAATCCTTTTACAAAGCACACATCACAACATTGCAAGAAGACTAAAAAGTATTCTTTTTTTTAAACATTTACACATAAACAAATATACAGCCACATTGTGATGAGGAACATTATGATGTTGTAAAAGTGCTACATTTCATTTCGATGCTTTGAGTAAAAAATAATTCTTTAAGAGCACAAATATAAATTGACTAAAAGAAAAAATATTAATGATTTAGTAATAGATACAGACCTTTACACTTTTTGTGGAAGATTTTTCTAAATTATTGAAGTACAACAATTTTTTAAATATGATTGCAGAAGTTATTTAATTAATTTTAATAATTTTTGCAGAAATTCGATACATTTTTACAACTCTTCAGAATATTCGTTGTCACAACGTTCGTTTGAAATATGCCATCAAATTAAGAACAAAAGTTTTAATATAAAAATGACAAAATATTTAATTTTTCGATTTTACTTTATCATTTTTAGAACTAAAGATAAATGCTCATGCCGTGGTAGTAAAAATATTTTGCTCAATCAAAAATTAGGCGAAACCATTCTAATTTTATTTGGTTATTAACCCGCAAAGATCGCTATGCAGTGGCATAATTTTCAAATATTTTATATACACGTCTTAAAGGTTATACGTTGCCTGATAATTTTTCCGGATTTTCCAAAAGAATTTTTTTTTTAATTCATCATTTACGGAAGAGGCCTCATTGACCAGGTATTCCGTGCCACAAATTATTAGTTTCCTCAATACTCGTGGCAACAAATTAAAAATTTTAATCAAATTAGTAAAAGCTAGCCGATATCATATTATAATTTTTAAGTTATACTTTAAATTTCAATTATTATATGATAAAACTATTTTAAGTTAAATTAATTATAAGTTAGATTTATTTTAAGTTAAATTAATTATAAGTTAAAATTATTTTAAGTTAAGTTAATTATAAGTTAAAATCATTTTAAGATAAATTAATTATAAGTTAAAATTATTTTAAGATAGATTAATTATACGTTAAAATTATTTTAAGTTAAATTAATTATAAGTTAAAATTATTCTAAGTTAAATTAACTATAAGTTTATTATATTTTAAGTTAAATTAACTATAAGTTTATTATATTTTAAGTTAAATTAATTATAAGTTAAAATTATTTTAAGTTAAATTAATTATGAGTTAAAATTATTTTAAGTTAAATTAATTATAAGTTAAAATTATTTTAAGTTAAATTGATTCTGTACAAATGTTCCTAATTTAAGGTGAAAAGTGAATTTTATATTAGTTGTACCTTTCTAGCGGGAAACCATACATACTTATTTATGTTATAAAAATGTAACTTTTAAAAGTTATCTTTTCAAAGAAAGGGTGAAGCTACCATAGAAGTTATTTTCGCTGAGCGTTGAGGATATTTCCATAAAAATTGTTAATGATGCGAAATTGGAGATATTTTATCAATTTTAATATGCATGGTGGCTCTAGGACTTCTAAAGAGGTAGATGGAATAGTAAAGTTATACTTCGAAAAATAAACGAAACGAAGATATTTCTTTGATTTTATTGAGTTTATAAACATAATTTTTTTTGTTTCATGTATTTAAAAAACTTTATGATTATGTGGAGATGTTTAATGAATTTCTGCGATATTTAATAAATTTCACTACCAATTCAACACTGCTTCGAAAAATCTTAAAATTTAATCCACAAAAAGCTTAAAAGTCAGCATTTGATTGAAAAGGATTTTATATTCATTATCAATTTAATTTCAATACTCATAGAGAGAATCTAATTAAAAAAATCGTAAAATTAATTTAAAGAATATTAATATTATTAAACTATTATTATTATAGATTTAATGAAATTATTAAATCTATGAAAACATATTTACAACATTGCGGAGCAATTTTTTTTTTTTTTCTGTTGCATGAGATTTTTAAAAAGATCTTAAATATTTTTGCGTCACTGGTTTCAAATCTGCAGTTGTTTTCTCTCTAAAAGCCACAGATTTAATGCAACTTAATATACTCCTAATTGGGATTTTTGCTGGGAAAAAATATTAAGCGTTCTCACTTCTCTGCTACGTAAGGTGTGGTAGGAATAAGGTGATAATGCATTTCAGTTTTTAATGCGATACGTTAAGTGATATATGTTTTTTTACCAATGTAAGTGTTTTTAATAATGTTTTTTTATTGTACTAATGTTTTTTTAATGTTTTTTTATGTAGCAGACAAATGTACAAAATTGGACAAAAATATGGGAACACTTCAATACTATTTCCATGTAAACAATTTTTCTTACAGCAGTAATTGTTTGGGAAGATTTTACATGACAAAACTACTCACATATTCTGAAAGATTATGCTCGAAGCTTTTAGAAATGGTGTTCTTATTACCCATACAAAATATGTATCGACCAAAATGGAATTTTATGCGTCTTTCCTGTTTCAATACTACTATAACTATAAAAGCTTTCTAATATAAATATTGCAATCCTATAGAATGCTATTGAAATCGAATTAGACAGCCTCTGTTAAAAGCTTCAAGCATTATCTTTCGAATTGTGTCAAGAGTTTTGCCATGTTAAATATTTCTAAACATTGGCTGCTAAAGCAAGATATAGTTTGTCTACAGAAAAAACTCCCCTCGCCACATAGTCTAAAACCGTCTGCTGCTATGGAAACAAGAAAAAGAGCATTTCAAAGAGGGTTTCTCTTTCTTTCGCCGATGCGAGCGAAAACCAGTCTTAAATAATGACCCAACATCTCTACTTGAAATAGTTTAACCTCGTAATCATAGTCACCGCCACTGCTCCAGACTAATGGCTGGTGGAGTTCTTTTCATAGACAAACTATAGTTTATATATAATTAGAATAAAGGTGTTTCCACATTTTTGTCTATACATATATTAACTTGTAAGCTATACATATATTAACTTGTAAGTTCTTTAAAAACTTGTACATTCATTCAAAAAATTAATTGAATTAAAAATATCATTTTGAAAAGAAATCTGTAGCTTTTGGAACAAAACTAATTTCAGATTTGAAAGCCACACATCCGAATTAGGTAAGATGAATTATTTAATGCAATAAATGCAATCAAAAATTTTGTTGTTCAGTGAAATAGACTATTTCTGCTATCAAGATTTACCATCTAAGCGGTAATGTAAAATTCAATCGTAAAAAAAAAAAAAAAATTTAATAATTTTGATATTTTTTCAATTGTGAAGTATTAAAAATGGGGAAAAATGATTGAATGAAACTTTGGCTAAAAATGCTAATGATTTGACCAGAGTTCTAAACATGAAATGTTACCCGATTCCCAAATTTGGCTCCCAAATATAAACACATGCTCTTTTTCACACTAATAAAAGCATTCCTCTTTACCAGAAAACAAAAATTAAAAATACTTATTTGAAGAAGAAAAAAAGTTTTAACTATTACCATATATTCTAAACAGTCATTTAACACAGGCTGTGACATGATTAGACATGCTTTTATCTCACTTGAGAAATAATTACAAAAAAAGATTTAAAAAAAAAAGATTGCACTACAGGAAACACGTAACTCCCAGTGGTTAAGTTACACAATTGGCTTACGCTTTAATTCCACTCATAAAATAACAACTTACGTTTCTTATCCCCATTCAAACAAACGAAAATCCAAATTTAAACAAACTAGCGACGATTAGATCACGTGGTGTTGGAAACACGTGGATCGTCACGTGGTGTTGGAAACATAATGATGCCAATTATAATTTTGAATATTTAATTTTAAAATGGTGTTAATACTGTGACTTCTTTGTTTAATTTTGGTATCTCGTTTCCTTAAATGGGTTAATTGGTTGAGAACATTCGATAAGGTTATAGGAACGAAATTTCGAATATTTTTTTTTTATCACTGGCACCGGTTAGTCAACATGTCATCATGTGTATGCCAGTATGCACAACCCCGTAATTTCTATCACAGTCAACATACACATCATGATTATAGTAACGGAAATGCAATGGGACGTGAGGTTACTGAAAGTCCAGTTTCACGGAATGTTAGGTAACACTTTGGCCAACTGTAACCTACAACAACGATCCACTTGTTTTCTTTTTTTCAGAAAACTCATTTTTTTTTGTTGAAAATTTTCCGAATTTTTTGAAAAATTGCCAAAAAAAATTATTATGTAACTTTCATGCATTCACCAAGAAAATGGGTTGGTGGATAATGAATATAGCATCATTCCATTTGAGTTCACGAATTTCAAGTTCCGCCAGTTTTTCTTTGGCTTATTAAAACTGCTTTAAATGTGTGTCAAAGCTTATTTAAATCAGTCTTTCGGAGGCGAAGGGTCTTTTGGCGACGGTGAATTTTCCGTGTCACTTCTTATTGTTGTTGGGGGCAACTGACCACTAGTGGCCAATCGGTGAAATGCAGACGCTTCTGCGCTGGACACTGCTGGTAGACTGTAAGGTGCAAATCGATGTGCCTTTGGGCTTTTTATTAGAGTTCCGCCATTGCTTGGTACATCCTGGTTGTTAGCAAGTCCATCATACAGTCCATCCATCAAAAGTCTTTGGTTGTGACCCAATTGAGCATGGAGCTGACGCATGGCTGCTAGCTGGGCACCATCACTAGGAGAAAAAAGGGAGCCCATCTGTTGCTGGGCACCGGGCATCAAGAAGGGTAGATGTCCAAGTAGACCAGTATAGAAGGACGGAGGGTAGGGCAGAGGCAGGTACTTTTGCAAATTGTCCAAGCCACCTGCTAGATCTGTACATCCACCAAAAAGCTTTTCCTGCATAAGTCTCTGTTCTGCAGTTGGAATCGATGACCCTGGAGAAATAGAACCAACGGGAGATGTTGGCGACCCTCTGGTTAAGTTGTTCGATTCGAACATTCTGATGGAATTGCTGCCAGGAGATAAATGCGTTTGATGGTGACCATTGATGAGAGTCTGTGGTTCTAAATCATCTGGGAAAAAATATAAATTAATGATATCAAAAATATAGAATTTTTATCGCTAATGTTTTTTTTTTTTTTTTTTTTTTTTTTTNCATTTTAATTTTTTTTTTAAACGAAATAATATAATAAGTTTTAGAAATAAACAACTCTTGGATAGAGATAGAAAGTCGGATTAGATTATCGGAATATCTAAATTGGAAGTAGATTCTCCAACTTCGATGGTGTAACGTTCTTGTGACGACCTTCAGGAGATAATGCTGATTTCGTAGATGCTAACTTGCTTCGGACAACTGATAAATATTTTTGAATGGTATTCTTTTATTATATGATTCTTGATTTAGTAAATTCGATTTCTAAGGTTTTTACTCACCACCTCTCTGAATAATTCAAAGGCTTATGTGATACTCCAGTTTGTTATACTTAAAGCTACTAAAAGCAACCGCCAGTGCCTGCTTACTTCAATGCTCAACCAAAACAGTGTTAAAATTCTAGATGAATTAGTTAGAGAGGGGCTCTTCGCTTAGGGGGCGCTTCGCGGCCCAAGTAGTCGATAAAATCAAAACACTAGGACACTTAAGCTGCGTTGAGCCTTTTAAAAAATTAACCAAAAATCTGCAAATCTTAGTTTGTAGTTCACTAACGTTATTTTAAAATATTTTGTCGAATACGGAGCAGTTGGCTTCTCTGTGATTAGTTTGTAATATGAGTTTGTCAAGATTAAATAAAAGGTATTAAAAGAACAATTAGAATTTTATACCCTCCATCGCCTCCGATAACTGAAAGACTCCTTACGGAATTTTACTTGGTAGTCCAATCAGACCACCATGAAGGTAAATCGGTTTACAAAAAAGCCATTTCTTTTAAAATCTAGTGAAATTAAGAAAGTGGTAGCAAATGTATTTCTTAAAATTTGTTTAATTTATGAATATGATTGGTTTGTCATACTTGTCAAAAACCACAAATTCAATTCTCAAATATATTAGATAAATTTCTCCCAATTACTTATATAGAAGAATATGGGTTCATGCGCACAGCTGGTTCACTTTTAAAATAGTCTGCGCAGACTACTTATAAAAAAACCGTGTGGAGGCTTTCTGATGTAGGAGGTGATTGTTGAATTTGGTAGATTAGAGGAGGTGCTACATTATTTTGACTTTCGCGGTTCTGTCCTTCGTGATTTTGACATTCATGTTTTTTTTTAAAGTAATATGACTGTATAAATAACAAACGTGATTTTTTTTAATACGTTGATTTTAAGAATTTGCATAAGGTATAAACAACTTTGGTTGCAATGTTCTTATCGTAAATATAAGGCGGATCATTATGCAAAAAATTATGATATAAATATTCAGTTGATTTTGAAAACAAAGGTAGCGTGCTTTCTGTATATTAACGCAGAAAAATCAGAGCGATTTTCTAATATTCGAAACAACTAATACCCTCAAATTCGAAAAGAAAACTATCACAAAAAGCGGTATATCACAGTCATTTTATAGGTATTATTTTTCTCATAAATTATCGATGCGTTTCCACTTCCACGTATAAAATTGGATGCTTAATATTCCCGGTTTGTAGCAAACTAGAAAACGGAATTCATTTCACGCCATTAGAAGGAAAAGAAAAGCGCCAAGGCGTTACAATAATGCCCCGAGTATGCAAATCCTTTAGCCAGCTACTGTCGACTAACTGCCTCTTTCACACGCAAAGTACACGTAATAAATAGCATTCTAATGCGAGGAAAAAGAGGCAATGGCTGATCCAAGTACCTGCAATCGACTTGGCGAAAGATCTCATCAATTATTTCGCACTTCTCTCCATTAGATGGTTTCATTGTTGGCTTCAGAAAACGTGTTATGTGGTTGTGCGTGTCGAAATGTCGGAAAGGTTTATCGCCACAATCCACGTCAATAGAAGAAAGGATTTAATGACTTTCGGCACTTTTTTTCTTTCGATCAATGATGTTAATATTGATGTACGCCAATGAGAATTGAATATGCATTCTGTGGGCATTAATGAATATCCAATAAGAATTGAATATATATTTTATAGGTAACGAAGACAGTAACAAATCTATGATTTAATGAATGTACAGTTTAATAACACAGTTAATTATGTAATAATTAATTTGTCTTAAAATTTTACAGCAGGGTCATATTACTATATATATATCATAATAAATAAATACAAAAAGAAAAAAAAACGTAGACCAATGGAAAAAGAGGAAAACAGTAACCGAAAAAAAAAAACGGAGAAAAAGGGAAAAAAATTATTAAAAAAAACCCGGAAAATAAACGATATAATCTTTTCATCAGCTCGCACGATTATATCCGCAAAAAGGAGTGCTGCAAAAGGAGAAAGCACTCCTTTTTGCGGATATAATCGTGCGAGCTGATGAAAAGATTATATCTTTTATTTTCCAGGTTTTTTTTATAATTTTTTTTCCTTTTTTTCCGATTTTTTTTCGGTTTCCTGTTATTTTCATTTTTATTATTATTTTTCTTACCCCTCTTTTTTTTTCCTTGTTCTGTTTCTCTTTTTTCTCTAAACCCGTTTCGAACAGGGTTACCATTGTCTGGAATTTTTTTCAAGTGGAAGCGAAAGTGAGATAGATCTAGATGTTTTAAGCTACCAATAAATGTTTCATTTAAAGGAAATATATATAGGTTCAAAAAAATGCATCGGGAATAATTTCATGCTTCTCAAATGAAAGCTTAATTTAAGCATCTTTCAGTAGTCTGGAAAAATCTTAACTAAAACTCATTTATTTTTTCCCAGTCGTGGGAACACTGTTCGAAGATTATAACTCAAAATTATTAAAAATTATGGTATAGAGATATTAACTGCTCCAGATGCAACAAAAATATTTTTAAAAAATTGGCATAGTACAACAAACTAAAAATTGCAGAATTTCGGTTAACTTTGTCCACTTTTCAAGAGGCTTAACAATTTTGAATAGTAAAGTATAAAATTTTTGACATCATTTTAAAGAATGTAATTAATTTCATGTGCGAAGAGTGAAAAATTTGACAAAATTCGTTTCCACGAAAAAGAGGCGATAATTATTTCGTCACTTCGGAAAAAATCTTGCTCGGGAGCATTAACCATTTATGCTATTTTTCGAAGCTTACACTTGAAACAATACGATGATTTTAAACTATAGATATACTCTTGTTGTGAAGAATTATCTGGCCTTTAGAACAGACAAATAACTTAAATATTTTAAGAGTTATTAAACTTTTTTATAAATCGCCAATTTGGCGACATCTTTCCATCTAGATCATGTTTTCCAAACTTGTGATTTTTGTGTACCCTCTTTAAATTTTTCGTAAAGCTGTGTACCATTAATAAAAAAAATGAATGTATTTTTTTAAAAATAGGTTTATTTTTCTTTTTTGGTACAAAGTTTTGTAGATACTAACCAGCGATCCATATTTTACGTTAAAAAATAATCAAAATAAGTAGAATTTATTACAAACCTTTACTATAAAAAAATTTAAAAATCACAACTGGCTGTTGACACCACTAATTATTAACTGTTTACTCTGCAAAATATAGCTAATAGAAAAATACGTAATCGTAAATTTTCACGCTTAGCTTTGTTTTTAAATAAATTTTTGTGAAATTTTCGTTTGTTGCAAGATATTTCTCATAAGAACGCGTACCTCCACTAAACAGTTCCGTACCCCTGGGGGTACGCGTACCAGGTTTGGAAACACTGATCCAGAGGAAAATTATCAAAATCACTGCCTTATTCTCAGTTTTTTCAAATTTTTATAAACCCAGGTAATGCAGCATTGGAGTAAGTTTTTAAATATTAAAATATTAAGCCACAAATGCTTTTTATTTTCACAAAACTGTGGCTTTACTCCATATCGACGTTTTGTGACTTTTACAAAATGAGCTTCTACAGCACTGGTTTTAGATAGGCTGAACTTGACCTAACAGTCATAAATAACAGTTGTAAACAGTTAAAGAAAAAAAAAAGCGTATTATTCGTAAAAAAGTATCATCTCATTTTACGACGAAAATCAGCCTTTTAAATGGTTTCGTCAAAAGCGAAGAAAGTTTCAGTTACATTTTTTACAGTGAGCGCTGAGAGAATTATTTTTGGCACTCGTTTTAATTTATTCGAAATAAATGATTTTTCACTCGTGAAAACACGATATTGTAGTAGTCAGAGGTTTTTTATTACCTTTTCGAAGACAAAACAAGTTTTTATTTTAGTATTATTTTTTTAATATAAAAGCAATAAGGTGGTGTAAGGTGATAAGACAAAAAGTTAATAAGGGGTTACGAATAAACCACTATAGTTATGATCGCTCTTTTCGACACCCTTGACTTCGCGTTTCCCACTACAAAAAAAAAAGTGGCAATTGTGGGCGTGGCTCTTCTATTTAGCGCCACTTGGAGCTCAGAACGGATGCTGTTAGAGACCTGTAATTTTGCAGTGTTCCAAAACTAGTGGAAGGTATGAAGATTTCTTTTTTTTTTCTGAAGAAATTGTCGTTTGGGTAAATTTATGGAATCAGTCATTATTGTATTAAAGGAAAGGGGAAAAAGGTAGAGGAACATTAGATCTATTGCTGGAAAGGGGGGGGGGCTTAGTTGGAAAATTTATAAAATCGTGTGATAAGAAATGTAAAGAAACACGGAAAGTGGGGTGAGATAATATGATACCAATGCACGCAACTTATTTTACGTGTAAAATTAGGTGCTAGTGATGTACTAAGGGGTACTTATTGTAGTATAACAATAATCAAACGATATTTTGACAACTGTTAAAATGGTATATTGAAACTTGGATTAATAACTGTATTTTTTTAAAAAAAAGAAGCGTTTCCTCAGAACTAAAAAAATATGAACAGAAAAGGATAGCTTTATTTCTGAATTTCTATAATTATTTTTTTAAAAAAATGGCTAAAAATTTTGTATTTAAATATTTTTTGGGGAAAATACTAAGTTTAATTACTGTATTTTAGAACGAAACATTTCCCCTGAAATAAAACATGGGTTAAAAAAAGACAACCTTATTTTCGAATTCTTATAATTATTAAAAAAAAGTGGGTAAAACTTTTTTATTTCGATAATTTTCTGCAAAAATGCGAAGCGAGTCAGAGTCGTGATTTTTTTTCTTCTGTTTAATTATCACGGAAACTGTTTATTCAAAGTTATTACTTTAATTGCAATAACTTTCATTATTGCCTTGATTGCCTTATTGCTTTATTTTAATTAATAAATTAAAAATAAAATATTAATATTTATTTTAATAAACATTAATATGATATAAGAACAGGGTAAATTTATGGAATGGTGTTAATCTTAATGAATAAATTTGATTGTTTTCAAAAATTTATAATAGCAATACAATTATTATTATTATTTATTTATTTATTTACTTATTTATACTTTGCAGCAAAATGATCTCACATGTCGTCATTTCTTATAAAATAATTCATCATTTTGGTTCAAATGTTTTCCAACAGATGGTGCTGTAGATAGTTAACGTATTAATCGAAGTAGTAGTAGTATTCGCCGCACTAGAACTGCACAATGGGCTATTGGCGACGATCTGAGAAACACCACTAAGAAGAATCCGAACGACATGCCATCAGGGGTAGCAAACCGATATGCGCTCGAAGTTCAGCACTTTCAGTGGAATAGTTCTATGAAGACCGATACCGTGTAACCTTAGTCTCATTGCAGGCTGATCAAAGTGCTCGTCCACCCACTAACTGACCGTTTGCTAGTGATGCTTGACTTCGGTGATCTACTGAAAACCGTGTCTTACGAACGTGAGACGCATAAAACAGAGAAAATGTGATTGAAAAACGCAAATTTGAGGATTTTGAAATCTTTAAGTAACTTAAAATAACATTACAAAATTTTCGAAATATCCACTATAATTCGTGCATCAAGCAACCCCGCAAAAGAATAGCAACAAACAAATACTCAAAATTGTTATCGTACGGTCAATACTCGACTCTGGCATCAAAACACAACAAAAAGAGCAGGTAAAGAGATTTGCAGCGCTATCTTTTGACAAATTTTAAAACTAAAAACTGGAATTATGGAAGACAAAATATATGTTACATAAATTTGCGCTAGGAATTTTTTTAAAATTTTTTTTTCATTTATTTATTTATTATTTTTAATTGTTGTCAAATTATACATTTTTGAAAACTATTAATTTTATTGAGGACACCCTTTTATTGAGGACATACTAAAATAAATATTTATTTTAATGCCTTTTTTTTTCCTTACCGTTATCAGGCGTATCAACATCAACATTTTCATTATCACTACTGTCTTCACCGTCGTCTCCTCTTCCGTCTTCAGGTGGTGATGCAGTTAGCGATTCTTCTTGGTAGGAATGAGAACCGAATAAAGAATTCTGTCTTCTGAAAAGAAAAGAAAAAATTCTGTCTTCTAAAAAGAAACGAAAAAATTCTGTCTTCTAAAAGAGTAATCAAGCGATTATAACTTTGTCGCTTCTTATTATTATAATACAGATTCGAGGCAGTAATAGCGAAATATTATAGGTTCATTTATAGTGACGTCACTGTAACAAGGTGAAATTAGAATATATAATTATGATTGCTATTTTCATAATACTAATAACTAATTACAGATTAAAAATGCAAGTGAATTTTTAGTTAAAATAATAACTGCGTTATATATAAATTATGTCGATGTATGATATATTTAACCGTTTACACATGTAATAGATTAATAAATTAGTAACTGGTATATAGTATAGGTAATAGGTTCGTAAATTTTATATTGGTTTATACGAAATATGCTTTTAATTTGGTTTGTGATATACATATGAAACAAGTTTAACAATTACATGTTGGTATGCATATGTAACAAGTTTAACAATTACATGTTGGTATGCATATGCAACAAGCTTTACAATTACTTGCTGGTATGCATATGTAACAGATTTTTGCAATTACTTGTTGGTATGCATATGTAACAGATTTTGTGATTACTTGTTGCCATGCATATGTAACAGATTTTACAATTACTTGTAGTTATGCATATGTAACAGATTTTACAATTACTTGTTGATATGCATATGTAACAGATTCATAAATTAGTTTCTACTAGTATACATACCTGAATAATGAAACAGCTACTGGTTTACATAGGTAACAAGTTAAAAAAAGGGTTTCTGTCAAAAGGAAGGCTTCATTAGCTTTTCCAATGAATTTTTTAAAGCTAATAAATTTACCCTCTGACACTCTTTTTACTTTAGTTTCTTGGGATTATTTAATTAATTTCAAATTAGTTAACAAAAGCAACTCGTTCAAAAATTAGTTGTTCGTATATCTATGCATTAATTTTATAAATCAGTTACCCTCATGCCGGTTTATGAAGTAGATAATTACTTTTATGTACATGTAACCAGTTTGTAAGTTAGTAACTGATATGCAAGTATATTATACTTAATTTAATAATTTCGGCAAAATAATAGTCATGAAGTTACAACATTTATCAGTGCTCTGTAATCGCTCAGAATGCAGAGAAATTTTTTTTAAATGATATGACATTTTTAATATTATTTCGCAAGTTTCGAACTAAACTACAATGTATTAATTAATTCATGTAAATGTGTTTTTAGTTATTTATTTATTTCAATCGCACGTTCTGACACATAACAATTTACCTTTTATCTTTTCTTGCAGCTCCGGAATCCCGAAATCCTTTGGCAAATGGATTGTTGTCAATCTTCAGCCTTGTTATCTATAAATAGATAAAATTACTTTTATATACTTCAATAAAATTGAATCAATTCAAACATTATTCTTATGTATGAAATATTTAATAGTTTACACATGCAATAATGTAACAGATTCATAAATTTGTATCATTTCAAGAATTATTTCTGAATGGGATACCTGCAAGTGACGTAGTGTGGGTATCTCGATCCTGATTGGTTGTTGAAATGCAGCATTTGTTTACGTTAGCAATTGTTCTTTCCATTCTATATCGAGTAAGCCAAGCCCGTAAAGTATCAATTCCATTAAATGACACATTCTACATTCTTTGACATAGATTTTAATTCTTTCAATATATACTATTTCTTACGTAACACAAATACAAGTACGAAACCATGTGGAACAAAAACAAACTAATCATGCATCGAAGTTGCCAGGTACACAAAACAAAAATAAATCACTATTACAATAAAATACATAAACAAATAATAAGTCTAAGTTAAACAAAACAAGTAGACGAAGAAGAATTCTATTTCAGCAAATTTGATGCGCGATACAGCATTGTTTTTAATTAACTTCACGTATATTTTAACATTTTAACTCGTGTGGAGAAACTTAGATCAATTTTAACACGCAATTTTGCCTCTGGCGATGACGTCATAGATCACATGTGTGGGTATAAGTGATCTTCTTTTTGAAGTGCAAGTACCCAATTGTATCATTTCAAACATTATTCTCATCTATGAAATATTTAACAGTTTACATATGTAATAATGTAACAGATTCTTAAATTTGTATAATTTTAAACATTATTCATGAATTTTATTATTTTATAACATTATTTTTGAATTGTATTATTTTATAACATTATCCTGTATATGAAATATTTAGCAGTTTTCATGCGTAAAAATGTAACAGATTCATAAATTTGTATAATTTTGAACATTTTTTATTAATTTTATCATTTTAAACATTATTCTCATTTATGAAATCTTTAACGGTTTACATTTTTAATAATGTAACAGATTTCTAAATTTGTATCATTTCAAGCATTATTTATGAATTGCATCATTTCAAGTAGTGGGTGATCGGTTAACGAACATAATCCGTTCCAAGACTATGTTCGCTATCCGAATTGTTCGTTAACTGATCATCGATTTACCATAGACTTCTATGTGAAATCGATTAATTCATTCTGGAGACCCTAAAAATTAAATTTTAAAAAATGTATAATTTCTTAATAAGTTTTTTAAAAAATTATACATACATATAGTCTTGCATATTAATCAATCCTTTTCATTTTATGCTTAAGGGGCGGTCCAATGTCGATTGCTTTTCTCTCTTTTTCAGGATTTTCCGGAAGTAACTAATAGCATTGTCGTTGTAAAGATTCCCAACCCTACTGACATCAGCTTGGTTTGGGTACCATTCTAAGACCATTGCTCTGACATCCTCCCACTTTTTCAAAATATCTTTAATGGCAGATGTCGGCATTGGTCCTCTTTCATCATTAGTACATCAAGAGTAGGAGACACATTTCGCTGTGTTTCTTGGTGTTCTTCATTCAAAATTTCTTGGAGTTCTTCTGTCGTTAGTTCATCTTCTTTAAACATTTCTCCTTTCAGTGATCTTATTTCGTATGCAAAATGATCACAAATGTTTAATATAAATTTTTTTCAGGCTGAGAAGTGTTCGTTAGAATTCGTTTTGTTCATTAACCGAATATGTTTTCGTTGTCCGAACACAAAAAATCTTTCTTGAAATTGTTCGTTATCCGAATATGTGTTCGTTATCCGAACACAAAAATCTTTCGTGAAAGTGTTCGTTAACCGATTTGTTCGTTAACCGATCAGTTCGTTAACCGATCACCCACTGTATTATTTATGAATCGCATCATTTCAAATATTATTCTCATTTATAAAATATTTAAAAGTTTACATTTTTAGTAATGTAACAGATTCAAAAATTTGTATCATTTCAAGCATTATTTCTGAATTGCATAATTTCAAACATCATTCTGATAAATGAAATATTTAATATAGGTAGCAAGTTCATAAATTATATATACTGGTGATTTAACCTATTCAATAAACTCATAATTTCACTAATTGTTTATTATACTAATATGAAATTTTGCTTTTACTACATCCTATCGCATACATGTAATACATATTGCAATAATGTAAGGTGCGCATATTTTCTTTTCTTTCCCTTTTTTTTCTTTTTCTTTATTCGCAAAAAATAGTTATACAAATATAAAACTAAGTTGAAACTTCTATCTGTTACCGACTACATTAGCTTTCAATCGACATTGTGCTCTAACATCAGATCCGAGATTCTTATCCCAGCCATTAATAATATATTAAGGTAGACAATTCCACCCTAATATATTATTAATGAATCTTATTTATTCAAAATAAATAATGAATAATACATCTATTCTTCCGCATAAAGCGTAAAAATTGGCAGCTATTACGGTATTCTTTTTAGTGACATAAACTTAATCTAATAAAGTGAAAAATAAAATAATGAAAAAAAAAGTAATATCACGCTTCCTTTGAAACTGATAAATTTAAAAGAACATTTTCGCTCGCAATTAGCAATTAATTATTTAATTTTAACACTGAACAAAAATTTAAATTTCAAACTAAATTAAAGGCAATTTCCCAGCTGAAGCATATTTATAATTTTCTCGCTTCTAAAATACGAATTAAAATTCCCTTATTGAAATTAGGCTCGTTTACTGCAATTAATCTAATTTGATTTCGCCAGATTAAGTCGCCAAAGAACACAGACGAAGTAGAATATTTTTCATTTTTAATTACAATTACATATGGTAATCATCGCAGATTCTAATAATTGATGTGAGAATTCTAATTTCCTAATGAATATTTTTATAATATTTATTACGTATGATGTTTATTGTTTTCGACAGGAAAAATTTAGATGCAAATCGTCTGCGAACATTTCCCTCGGGCATTAATAATTATACGTTGCCAATAATTAGCAAATAAATTCATTAGAAACTAAGAAAATTCCTGTTTTGATTTCATTAGTGAAGTATATTAGATTATTTTCTAATTAGATTTCATTAAAGTTTTTTTTACAGAACCCTCGGGGTGTTTTTATGATTGAGGAAACGGTTAAAAAAACTAATTAATTATTAAGAAAGTTTTCTTTTTTACACTTAAGACTGCTTATCTAATAAATTTTTTCACAGCGAAAGCATTTTTTTTTTCATTAAAAAAAAATCCGATATAACCAATGCAAAAAAAGAAAGTTAAAGCAACATTTTCTTTTTTAAGCTTTAACAAAATTTTATTCATTTAGTTCAATTGATTCATAACATTTGAAATCAAAATGTAGAATATTGATTACAAATAATGACTTCATTGGCAAAAAAAATTTTATGTTTCTAATTTTTAGTGATGGATTGTGTAAAAATAATAAAAACTATTACTGAGTTACTATTTTTTAGAAAACAAAACAAATATTTTACGTTATATGAGGTCATAGTTCATAGATTTACTTACTTTAACGCTACATCTTTTGTATATAAAACATTTGGAGTCAATAAGTCATTAAAAAGAAATTGTAAAAATTAATATTCGAGAAAAAAAATGGTGCTAATTATGTGCCCTTATTAAAATTACCAAATGTTTATTAATTATTTGGATAAAACAACATAAATAACAAACAGCACAAACTCTGCAATAGAATTATCGAATATATAAATACTATACGTAATTCAGTTTAAACCAAAATTTATTCGTATAATTTTAATTCGTAATATTTGAAACAAAAATACGGAATATTTTTATACCAAATAATGTTCTGGATGGAATACGGCAACGAAAATGAATACTTTCAAATTTCAATAATCAAAGAAAGTCACAATTTTAAACGCAGTTTTTTGTACATTCAGAGTTAATAAACTGTAAAAATAAATTAATAAAAAAAAAAGAATTCTGAAAAAATTATCAAACAGCAGCGATCGCCATAGCAACGCATGCAACGACGACGCATGCGCACTGTTTACTATTACTCTTGAACAAAGTTGAAAAGTGTGATGACTTCCAAATAAGGCGTGCACGCCATCAAACTCGAAACAACACCTATTTTGCCAATGGGTACTATATTAACCGCACCAAGTATTAATTAATTTCATTTCTTAAAAGAAGAAATATTTTCAAGAGGGCTAGATTATAAGCATGTTTAAATTACTGAGCCAGGAATTTTGTTACTTAACATTACATAGTAACAAAAGTAAAAAAACAAAAACAGCAAACGAAAAAAAAAACCAGTTTGATTTGTAACATGTAATTATAAAACAAAAATATTACCTTTTCGTTTTGGTACGCAGTAACGGCGATGAATTCAGTTTCTTTGAAAACGTACGTCCTAAATGTGGAGTAGGGTAGTTTTAGAATATCGTTTGCTCTCACCAGATGGAACCTCGGTTGATACTTATGCATCGAGTTCAAGATCGTCTGAAATAAAACATTTTATTATTCCATTGGGCAACTTTATATGAATCACATCTGATGTTACAAGTACAAATCATGAAATGTAAATATTAATAATGATAATGTAAAATATTACGTCATATCTAAATGATAATTCAAAATGCTATAATTTTTTTTTTTTTTTTTTGGTGAAAGAGCTTTGTTTTTAGATTTCTCCGGGCGTTACATGAAATAACGCGATTTTGTAAATAATATGCTCTTTTCATAACTGTTGCCAGCTTTCAACAGTTATTAAACCTATTTATAGGCAGCGCAATATTCACTAATTCTAAAAAAGTTTAAAAGTTTTAGTATAGAAATCTCGCCAATTAGAAGATTTTTTTAAACTTATTAATTTTTTTTAAATATTTAAGTTATTTTTCAGTTTTAAATCTCAGATAATTCTTTACGTTAAAAGTCAACATAGTATATATAGTTTAAAATGTTAGTTTTCCCTCAAAATGCTAAAAAAATGTTTAAAAATCTTGCTGATTTATTCTTGCTAAAATATTTTACAAATTTTAACGCTCTTTAAAAATAAAATAAAAATGAAAGTTATTCGTCCATTTTAAAATTTAGAGAATTTGTCTCCGCAAATAGGAAAAATTATTTTAAACTAAAGCTTTACTTTTAGTTTAAAGCATTTAATTAAACTAAGGTTCTTATTTTTGTAATTTTCTTTAGGTAAATAGCTTTAAACTTAAAAAGCTTCTCTTGAAACCGTCGTATATTTTTAACTGTTATGAAAAAATTCAAATAATGCATTTATGGCAATTTACGTTAAGCTTAAAAAAATAACAGCAAAATTTATTTTATACCTTAGCCAATAAAAATTTTATTGATTTCTTAGGTGGAATTATCTTGCTAAATTAGTGACTTTTTCTTTTTTTTTTAAAGTTGCTTTTTTTTAATATTAAATGTATTAGAGCCTTTTAAAAACTAGGCTACTCTCTTCTGCAGGATAGCATACATTGCTTAAAATTAAAGCTTTGCTTTCAGTTTAATTTAAATCACTCAATTAAACTGTAGTTCTTTTTATTATTTATTTTTCTTTGGAGATAGTAAGAAAGAAAAATCTTGCCAAATTGGCGACTTTTTTGAAAAGTTTAGCACTTTTTTTTTAAAAAATAGTTAATGTATTTGTGAATTTTTAAAACTAGACAATTTTTTTCCATAATCGACTACATAATTGCCAAAATTAAAGCTTTGCTTTAAGTTTAATTTAAAACACTTGATTAAACAGTGGTTGTTTTTTTTTATTTTATTTTCTTTGGGGGAAAGAACTAAGCTGAAGAGCATGCCTTAAAACCGTCATATATTTTTAATGGTTACAAAAAGTGCGAATTATAATTTTATGAGAATTCACATCAATTTCAGACAAAGCAATAACAAGCCATTACGTCAAATTTATTTAATACCTTAGCCAATTAAATAAAAATATATTATCACACCACACACACAAAGGAGATATAATATTGATATCATTTCCTGTCAAAAATCATCAATCTTTCTACATGACAACTGCGTTGCCAACGAATTTTATACTCTGGAACGAATATTCAAGAACAAAATAAAAATATCACGATTTTTCCAGCTATACAATGGCAACAAATAAGATTATTATCGTTATTTGATTATTATGAAATTTATGAAAGGGGGAGGGGGCGATAGAAAGTATATCCTTGGTCCTCCCCAGCCATTTTTTCACGAATAAATCAGGGAAGAAATTAACAAAACAAACATGAAATATTGCGGTGTGTAATGGCGTGCGCTCAATTTTGTGATAAGATTGTCTAAGGAGTGAAAATGATAAATTGGATCAATTACAATTCGTAACGCCCAATTGGCAGCTTTGGATTTTAACAAAGTAACTAGATATAACATGTGAGGTTAACTCACTTTTTTTCTTCTTCGTTTTTTTTTTTAAACTGACAACAAAAAAATTTTTTTCAAAAGAAAAATAATTGTTTAAAGTTGATTTTCATATTGTTTCAGTTACGGAGAAACTTTGAAATTGGAAAATTCAATGTGGTGCTATATATTTTGGAACTGTTAATTTTGGATTATTCCTTCCCTGTTGTTAGCAGAAATAATTGGATCACAACATCCTCCCATACCTTAGTAAAAAAGTCGCTTGTTTTCTCACATTAGACTATCACTATATAGTAATTTAATTTTAGGATTAAGATCAAATAAAAGATGCAAATTTGCATAAATGAAAATTTATGTTCTGGAACATTTTATTAAATTTTGAGTAGTCGAAAAATGTGTTACTTCTGAAACTCTTCGAAGGAATTTTATTCCAACTTTTTCTTTTTTCAACTTTTATCTTTTATTCGAAATTTGAAATTTTTTTCCTTTCTGTCATTTCCTTTTTGTAATTTTTTCCTTTTGTAGGGAAAGTAAAACAAGTTTGTCCCTATGATATGTTACGTCTCAAGAAAAAACGGAAACATTAATTACAATTGGTTCATTAAATAGGTAGAGGGAATAATATGGTTCTCACTATTAGTAAAGGGAAAAACTTAAAAAGTTTTTCTTGCATACTTAAAATCTAAATGTAGTACCAAAAGGGCGGATGTGAATAATAGTGTGAGAAAGCGTTTGATTTTGAATCATACATTAAAAAGGAGAATTTATATTTAAAAAAAAAAGATTTAGTTTAAACTTTTATATACATTATTACATTATTTTTATATACATTAATAATAACTTTTATATACATTAATTTATAAACTTTTATATACATTATTTTTTGAAAAAAATGCTTGTTTTTTAATATGTTACGTAAGCATTGTTTATACTGCTCTTTCCTCTTTCTGCAAAAATAAGTAAATAACAATCCCCTCTCAGCTTGTTAGATGCTTACGTAATATTAGGATGATCCCTATATCTAGCAGCTATTTAGTAAATTAAACGATTAAGTAATATTAATGGTGAAAGCCCGTTTCGTCATTTAAGCTTAAAGGACATTAGATTACACAGAAAGATTAAAAAATTTTCTGTTTAAGAATCGAAAATATTTGGTTCGACGAGGAAAAAATCAGTTTTATAAAGAAAAGCAACTAATCCTGGTGCGCAAAAAGTGACAGACGATCTAGGTCTGAAAGCACATATACAAAGACGGAAAAGTGTAAAAACTGGTAAAAAATTTATTTCATTATAGCACTTTTCCCCTTCTTTTTTTGAGAAGATTAAAAGATCTATGACTTTTAAGATCTTTTTAACTGCTATGTCATGTTATAACATATATATTAGACTTCTTTTTTTTAAATCTGAAAAAGAATGATTTAAAATTAAGAATAAAAACACCTTAATTTATTCCTCACAAGAACCTGCCAGTTTTCTTATTTCACTCCTACTTTCAGCCCTGCTGACGATTCGAAAAGTAGATAAAATTAAGGCAGAAGGACATAGAAATGTATGGTTTGTTGCCCTCAACTTAGGAAACCACACATTTATTCAAACTAAGTTAAAAAATTAATAACCAAGTTCGTCAAAAGATGGAGTTACTGACGAAAATAACTATAAAGCTAAGTACTCATCGGTATGCTACTAGAACTAGACCTTTCTAACTGGAATACTTCAAAGAGCGTCTGCTAATTAATTCCTTGGCGTTAGCCTTGCTGCTTATTAAAATGACTCCCAAAAAATAAAGGTAAATAAAAAGTAAATAATTATCCTTCTACTATCATTATTATTTATTTCATTATCAATCATTCTTAAATCGCTAAAAATACGTAAAATAAAAGCCGTTCATTATACTTTCATTAATGTGGAAGAAAAAATATTAAACTGTGTAAAATTTCTGAGCCGCACTTTTGTCTTAAATGGCGAATCTTTGTTAAAAAGAAGGAAAATAATAATAATAATAATGAAAACAATGCAATATATACTTTCTCACAATCGGATACTGTAGGTTTGTAAATGGAAATGATAATAACAATACAAAAATGCTATCGAAAAAAAGTGGCAATCGACAATCTTAATTAAAATTTTATTTTAAAATTGATTTCATTATAAACGAATCATTTTAGCGTTACTGCTTAAATTATTTTTAACCAAAATTATCTATATCTTTAATTATCTACTTTACATTATAGTGATTTTATTACTATAATAAAAATAAATTTTCCTCTAAAAAAAGAGGGGGAAGTGAGATTGCTCTCCAAACAATGAGAGGATTAACAATCACCATTCAGCAGTTAATGTTTTATTTATCGTCTGTCATTCTTAGATATCTAAAAGTAAAATAAATACCATTCATTACGCTTTAATTAATGTGAAAGAATATAAAATAAATTTCCTAAAACTTATTGAGAAACTTTTGTTTTGAATGAATAATGTGTGTTAAAAAGAATGAAAAAATTTTTTTTCTTCAAATATATAGATTCACACATTCAAATACTGCTGCCAGGTTTGTAAAAGGAAAAGATAAAAATAATATTACATGACTATAGAAAAGAGCAGACGATTTAAAATAAAATTTATTTTAAAGTGATTTTATTGAAAATTAATTATCTAAATGTTACAGTTTATTTTTATAGAGATACTTATATCTTTTATCAACTACTGTGCTAAAAGTCATCGTTCTCGAGTCCGAAACATTTTATTTATCTTATATCATTCTTAGATCGTTAAAAGTAAGTAATTAAATATCTTTCATTCATTTTCATTAATGTGGAAGGGGAAAAAAATTGATTACTTAAAATTTATTGGGCCACTTTTGTTTTGAATGAAGAATCTTTGTTAAAAAGAATTTTTAAAAAAAGCGCATTAATATATAGATTCACACATTCAAATACTGCTGCCAGATTTGTAAAAAGAAAAGATAAAATTAATATTAAATGACTATAGAAAAGAGCAGACGATTTAAAATAAAATTTTATTTTAAAGTTGATTTCATTGAAAATAATTTATTTAAATGTTACAGCTTATTTTTAACAGAGATACCTATTTCTTTTATCAACTACTGTGCTATAATT